CTAAGCTATACTGAAATGAAAAGTAAAGGACGGCTGCTTCTCCTCAAGAATAATCGGCAATATAGTCTGTTTTCTTAAGCAATATGCTGCTTGACTGGGCATAAATATAGCATAGTATATGCTATGATGAGGTATGCCCTAAACACTAAGACAGGCGATATAAATGTAAAATTAAATTCTCCTTGTGTTGAGAGAGATACTAGCATTCGGCTGAGAAGACCTTAAAAAAACGCACTGCTATCGAGTCTGTTCTGACAGCAGCTACATTCTAGGGCAGAACAGAACGGCCCCTTTGGGTTTCCAAAATTTTCAAATATATGGGAGCAGAAATGCCTCTTTTTCCCACAGAACGGCTGGTGGATTTGAACAGAAGACCCTGTGGCTAGCAGCTCCTGAAGACCTCAGCGTCAGTCAAGTTGGGTTCCTTCCAATGTGCATGTCTGCCCTACCTGAGTTAGCCAAAGGTCATGTTCATCCATTTAGAGCAATGGTTCTCAACCTTCCTAATGCCATGACCCTTTAATACAATTCCTCATGTTGTTGTAATTCCCCCCCCCCAACCATAAAATATTTTTCATTGCTACCTCATAAGTGTCATTTTGCTACTGTTATGAATCAGGTGACCCCTGTGAAAGGGTCGTTCAACCCCCAAAGGGGTCTGACCCACAGGTTGAGAACCGCTGATAAACTATGGTTCTGCAATTACAGTTCCTATCCCTACTGCTGTAGCATCAAGAAGGACTCTTCCAAAAGTCTGTATTTAGAAACAGGAACAAGAAGTCCCCAAAAATACTTTTAAGTATAGTTTTGCATCACTTACAATCCACAACAGTGAGAAATCGGACCTTATATGATTTGGACATGGGGTGAACAGCACAGCACATACAGGTGGTCCCTGAATTACAAGTGAATTCCATTCCTAACTTAATTAGGAATTCAACTGTATGTAAGGAGTTAAGTGTAGTTCTTATCAGTTAGTCAAATGTTTGGCTTAGCATATATTATGGCTTAGTATATATTATGCCCAGTGTAAAGAAACACTTCCAGATATAGTAAAACATCCCTCATACCCTACTTCAGGAATAATAAATAATGTTTGATATGTTGTCACCGTGTAGCATCCGTTCGTTATTATGAAACATTGTATGTGCTTCAAATGTGTAACAGAACAGGCTTCCCAGGGCTGGACTCACAGGCACCATGTGGTCGGGTGCCACCCTGTGTAATGTACCTACAACACTTCACTCTCATGGGACTCAAGGGTCTAGGGAAGAATCGAGAAAAACGGCCCCCTGGTTGGTACTGTCTTGAGCTAAAGGGCCCTGCCTGGACTGCTACTGCAAAATCCTAGGTTCAAACCCACCCACTCCTCTCAAGAACAAGGGGGATGGGTGCCCCTGAAAAGAGTTACTGCCTCCGAAGCCCGAGTGGGCTCACGAGGAGGTGGATTTGCCTCCACAGCAGAGAGCTATCATGGGTTAGAAAAAGCGCACCTAAACTGGGACTCTCAATCAGCAGTGTTTCAAATAAGCTGCTTTTATTGCATGATCAAAGTCACTATCCATAAAACAGAGCCAATTATAGATGATGTGCTCCGTTTTAGAAACGTTTCACATATTATAAAAAAACAACTTCCAAATTTACATGGATATAATGCAGAGTAGCCTATTTACTAAAAGCCGCCTACAGTGGAGAATGTATCAAAGGTTGCACACAATCATCTCATTTCATGGAGTTGAGGAAGCTTGTGAATGAACAAACAGAACCACAGATCTGACACTGAGTGAGCCTCCTGTGAGCTGATGTGAAACTAAACCCACTTGCCTACAAGGAGCATACACCTTGTTCCCACCTTTTCTGCTTAGCCAGAAAATTAGAAATGTTAAACAAGAGGAATCAATTTGCACCTCTACGTTCATCACCTGTTTCTTGCTGTCCTTTCCTAAATAAAAATCTTAAAAAGGCCTGACATCTTTTTCTTTGTGAGGCCTTTCCTGGGACTGACATATCGCTGATTACTTAAACTTTATATTAAGAATGCCACTGAAGATTTAAACGGTCTCAAAATCTCTCGGTTTCTATTACATGCTCCAATGCCAACATATATAGTAAATGCCTTTATGATAATTAAAAAACCTAACAATTTCTCGGCTACAAGTCTTAAGCGCAACAAGAAATCTACACAAAGCCCCACTGCAATGAACACGAAGTGCTAACACATCCTTCTCTTTTTATCCACAGCCTCCAGGCTAAAAGCCTTGTAACCTAACCATAAAAACAAAGAACGGCAGTCAATCGAAATAGTCTCTAACCAATTTAGAAATGCAGTGCTGCTTCCTATCATCTCTTAGATTTCTCCCTTCGAGACCATTTCCACTGAACGACTAAGCAGACACATTTCTTACTGTGCAATGTTTGCGTGAGTGGCGTGTTTCTTTGCCATGGGTGTGTTACATGTGGGAAATACAGTAGTTCAAGTTCCTCCTTGCCGCTCTCAAACCTATGCAAACACATTCTGAAGAGCTCACCACCGATCTTGAGCACAGGCAGTCTGGCTTTGTCTCGCTGGGCTTCGCAGAGACTGCCTTTTCAGGAATGGAAGGGTTCTCACAACACCACATCGAGTGTGTGTCTATGTCTCCAATAACATGTGCTCAATCCGTGTCTCTGAACCACACTTTAGTAATTTTCGTAATCTTTCACATTTTCTCATAATGCTACTGCACATTTACTACAGGGACTGTGTAAACATAACTTTTATATTTAGTCAACCAACCAACCAACTCACTGCCACCGAGTCAAAGCCAACTCCTAAGAGACCCCACAGGACAGGGTAGGACTGCCTCGGGGAGTTTCCGAGACTGTGACTGTTAATGGAAACATTCTTGAGACCCGTTTTATTGTGACATCCGCTCTATTGCAGTCTGCCTGTGTGATCACAATCCATTTCCTTAGCATTTCTCTCTGACACCCTGTCTTAGCTCAACACACCTTCAATGGCTTCCCGGTGGCCAAAGCCGTTAACTCAGAAAAAGGATAAAAATTAATGAAGTAATTTTGTATTTCAGAAACAACAAGGAAGCTTTGGTTTGATAATATAAGCTACCAAAAAGGTTCAATTGTGGATTAACAGAACATGGATTAAAGACCTATCACAGATTTTCAATCTAAATGTTGGTTTGGACATGTCCGGAGACAAAGTCACGTTGATGTGAGGTTTGTGCATCTCTCAAATCTACTTGTGTCCAAAATCTTTTCTTAACTTGAAGTCAAGTGTTTCCCAGAGAAAATGGCCACTGGGTGAAAGGCAGTTTTTATTCTTATTTCAGAGTTAACTGTATTGTAATGTGCTCCAGGCACAGCTTCCCAACAGTATACAGCAAAACCACCACTTTACCAACTGATAGAAATCAAAATTAGGCAAAAAGTGTGCCCATGGCAATAAGCAGAGTACCAACGTTTGCTGTACCAGGTATGTCAGCCAGACTACTGTTTCCCACCCTGTGTCTTCCCTCTCTAATTCCTCACAATCCCGTTGATCTTCAAAGACATATTTGGGTACAAAAGAAGAGCCACTTGTTGGGCTGCTAATCACAAGGTCAGCAGTTCGAAACCACCAGTCGGTCTCGTGGGAGAAAGACAAGACTTTTTACTCCCTTAAAGATTTAGTCTCGGAAACCCACAGCAAACCCACAGCGGCAGTTCTGCTCTGTTCTACAGGGTCAGCATCAACCCCATGGTAGGGAGTTTTATCTTTACTCTGGTGAAGTCCTCAGTCCCTTTGGGTCTTTCAAAAGGTGTTTTAGTTCCAAAATCACAGTAAAGTGATGTTGGGCCTATTCTGTGTACCCTGGCCTGTGTTGGGCATCCAGGATCTGAGCAAGCAGTCTGCCCTCACTTTATACCCCCCACCCCCAAACCTAGTTTTACTCAGGACTTTTTACAGATTCTCAAACTTGCCAAGAGCCTTTGCCCGAGGACTTGTTTGGAACAGGTCACAACCCTAATTAATCAGGCTCGGTGCCATCACTGTTTATTGAACTCACAGCACTTAGCACTATTCTGAGCTTCTTTCTAATGATCTGTATTGCTGGCCTCCTGCCCCACCCCCACCCCCACCCTTTTCTGGAGAGCTCCTGTGTCTTGGTTCCTATTACAGCTTCACTGCTTAGGGGACTAGCTGTCTCTTGTCAAGTAATGGATAATCTGTCGCAGGAATGAACAAGTGGTGGTTAAGTCTACACTCACTGAAATGATTATCTATGCCCATAGCTGCAAAGCCCCTGCACTAAGACAGAGGTTAAAGTCTCCACACAGGCACCAGTGCAGAGTTAGGGAGAGGCCCAGAATAGGCCCTCTTCTCTACCTCCTAAATTCCAACAGCACAGATCCTAAGAGAATGCTGTACACCTCCAGAATCACCACTTTCCAAAGCTCTTCTCATTTCATCAGGCATCCGAGGTGCCAAGTTCGCCTGCTCTTGTCAATCATGGCACTTCCTTTGTGCCAATTCCTGATTACCGTACATTTTTCTGCCATGACCTGCCTTGCCCTGAAATGTGTCCTTCTGATACAGGGAAAGCAGGGGCTGACTACTTCCCATCTTCTAGGGGCTAGAGTGCTGTCAGCACTGGACCGCTGTTACTCAGAACCAACTCCCACTCGGGCTTCTTCTCCCGTGGTGGGACAGACATGAAATGGGAAAAGAAGGGGGAAGAAAGAAAAGCCCTACTGTGACTGGCTTCCTTTTTCTGAAAAGGAACCACTTCCACAATTCTGCAGAGCTATGAAATTTTCCTGATTCTTGACCTGTTGCAGAAAGGTCGCAAGGCTCATGGGTACTTTCCATCTCTCAAGTAAAGGTCTATCTGAAAACACTTCAGTAAGTCTCATCATGAGGCTGCCACAAATTCAATTAGCCCGGTTCCTAGCTTTTATTTAAAAAAAAACAAAAAAAACCCACCAGACTGCCTCTTCTCTAAGAACGTCAACCATTTTGCCTTTGTCATTTTCCCACTCGGATTCGAGGACGCTGGCCCGGGGCTGAACGCGTGCACACCAGCGAGGCCTCGGCCGGCCACGGGCACGCGGGCAGAGGCGCGCCCCGCACAGCACCGCGCCCTGCCAGGG